ATGATTATGAAAAGATCAGCATTTTTTTTTTCTGTAAAACAGCCTTTAGATATTATTGAATTCTAAGTGTTTTCACAAGCTCACCTACAACTGGTATCTTACCAAACAGAAAGAGGAAAATAATCCGCTGTTCAAACATGACATCTTGCCATCCCAGGGTATGTTACACATAAGGTAAAATATCACACATGCAAATCCACTGAATAACGGCCTGATTATGTGATCAAGAAATATATCTTCTAATAAGGTACATGATGGATAATGGGCCAACCATGTGACAAATGAATATATCTTTGATTACAGTACATATAGAATAATGGGCCAAATGCGATAACAGGCCAATCATGATAAATGAATATATCTTCTGATACAGGCATACATGTGGGATAATAGGACATTCATGTGATAAATATATCTTTTAATATCATACATGTACATTCTTATAACACAATTTTACTGAAATGTTTAGAATGAACACATGAGATTTTAGTTACAGTTCTGTCAGTGGGAATGTGGATTAGGTCATGATATAGACATCAGAACCAAAACCTTTTTTGCTCACTTGAGATAAAGTGGTCAATGATTGAAATGATCTGGGATTGATTTGCTATTCTATGTAAAGAGTGTAGTTTCTCAACACTATGTAGTACGAATAGTTTTGTCTCTTAATGAATGAGCAAAGTTATAAATAATTTTATCATAGCAGTAATTTCTGTATAAACTTGAGAATCTCTAGATCCGTTCTTGTGAAGATTACCAGATGCCAAGTCAGTTTGTTTCTGTTTTTATTGAATAATTCATAGTGGGTGCAGGAACAAGGGAATCAATATCCATACAATTGTAGTTAATACATAGTATATAAGGTATACTGACAACGCTTCATACAATATTACGTGTACTTAGCAAGGTAAAGGTTTTGATATTTGTGCATTGTTAGTTTAAACAGTTGACCAGCCATATTGCAAATGTTGATGTATGCTAACGATGCTTGAAACAATACTACTGCTCTGACTTCAATAAAGATTTAATATAAAATTCATCGTCAACATACTATGTACCTATTTGTTTACAGTTCTTAATACACTAACATATGCCTAAAATCATACTGTAAATGAAATGAGGTTTAAGTTTGATAGTAATTCTGTTGAACAGCCTTTAAATATTATTGCATTCTATGTGTTTTCACAAGCTCACCTACAACTTGTATCTTACCAAACAGAAAAAGGAAAATAATCCGCTGCTAAAACATTTTTCTTAAGGCTTTGTATCATCTATTTTTATGGTGGGAAGATCAAATATCTTGATTGAGTATGTAGACTATTCACTTACCTGTTGGAAACAAGAGATGTCAGAGAGTGTGTCTGAAATTTCTGTTGGAAGTGACAGAAGAAATGACAAAACCATGCCTGTTTACCTAGTGAGAGTGACAGAAGAAAGGACAAAACATGCATTTTTTCCTGGTGAGAATGACAGACGAAAGGACAAAAACTTGCCTGTTCACCTAGTGGGAGTGACAAAAGTACCTATTGAGAGTGACAGAAGAAAAGACGAGGCATGTTTACCTGGTGGGAAAATGTGCAACTTGCATAGGCAACAGTAATCATTTAAGAGAAGCCAGATTATATACATTCAAACTGAAAATACATTGAGCGTTAACAACATGGGTTTGCAAACACTTTCTACTGCTCTTTTATTCATATATAGATATCTCTTGACATTTCAGTAGGATAAATAAAATTCAAAACCAACACATACATGTATAGGAGGTCAAAAGCCTGTCATGCCTTGCAAAATTCTCATTTCTTTCATATGTCTATTCAAGTGGATATTTCATGCATAAATTGCCTATACTTCAGTAAAATGCCCATTCTCCCCAATATGGAAACCTCCCACCTCCCTCCACCTTCCCACCCCTCCCTAAACCCTCCCCCACCCCAATGTATATTTTCAGTATTATTGGCTTATGCTGCAGCAAAATTTCCATTCTCCCCAATATGGGAGACCCTCCCTCCTCCTTCTGTTTTTTTTGTTTTTGACTTTTAGGAGAACATGTTAACATTTCTGTGTTATTCTGTAGATACTTTAGAGAGCAGACCTATATATTTCTCTGAATTAGGAGAAAAGCCTACTTGAAAGGGACTCAAATGAGTCACTGCCAACAATTACATACAGTAGGATTATTCGGTGTTAGCATGAAAATGTAAAAAAAAAAAAAAAAAAGATGTAGGCAAAAGTTGAAAGCAATGATTTTTTTTCAGGAGATTACCTGGAATGTGTTGTGACAACAATTTAAATATTTATACAAGAAATAAATGCCTCAATATTGACAGGTATATAAAAGTGAGGGTATTTTTGGTGTCAATTTTATCAAATCTTTCATTTATGACTATAATTAATAAGATTTCCCTTCAACATTATCATAAAACTGTTGTTCACAGGAGGTGAAATGTCTGTTCAATAAATTTCATTGCATTGTTATGTCCTGGTGTTGTTCACAGCTATAGACAGATATTGAACATACCTTAATAAATGGACTTTTATCATATCAGTCAATATATCATATAGATAGATTTCTATTGTGTTCTGATAAATGTCCGCTAGACCATTCATACCTAAAGGTCATAGGGAAAATGTAATCACTATTTTCAATTCAAAATGATATGTTCACGTTGTTCCAAAGCATGATAAACTTAATGCCAATATTTCTCTTCATTAATTATCTTATCTATTGATTTATCTATCTGTCGCTAGATATTTCAGACATAAAGTTATGTCATAATTTCTGAACATAAGTTGTTTTCTGAATGGTTAAAAAACACAGGAAGAAGTTATTTGTATCTAATTCAAGTTGTATAGGTATTAGTACATGAGTTTGATATGAATTGGTAACTTCACTTCAATCATGTTTTGTGTGAAATGTATAGTTAGTCATTAATATTTCTTACACCTCTGTATTTGAATACCTAAAAGCATACCGGTGTATGGATTTTCGCTGGCCTTCAATCAGATTTACCAGTAGCTAGATGTATATAATTAAAGTAGCTATAGTTTCATCATTGATTATAACATATATGTACAAACTTTTTAGATGACTGAAAATTTCTATACAAGCAAAAGTAAATTTCATTTCCATTTTTTTTTAAATTCTATTTCATTGTATATAATTCTTTATAAAAGCTTGTATGCCTTATTCTACCTTCTTGTAACAAACTAAAAAGTTTCATGATGAAACAAGTTTCCAGTCCCTGAAGACAAAATGGCTAGTATTTTTACAAAACACTTTTAAGAACTGTGACTTCAGTTGTGTGTATCAAATTATCTTGCATATCCTGCAGTATTGAATCAACTTGAAAGAAACAATATCTCAATGTAAGTTAGTTAAAAAAAATGTTGTATATTACTTCCATTAAATGTGAAAGGATGAATGTTAATTTGTACCTGTAGAAGTGAGAGGCTGAAGTTTATTCAATGATGCCATGAAAATGAAGAGCTGAAGGATGCTTTAAACTATTAAAAGTGATATGCTGAGGGTTAATTTATTCCATTAAAAATGAGAGGCTGAATTTTGAGAAACTTAAGGTTAATCATTCATAGCAAGCAAAGTTAGAGGTTGAAGTTCAATTTAAATAAAAAGTGAGAGGCTGGATCTTAATTAATACAATTAGAAGTGAGAGGCTGCAGGTTGAATTAATTTAAGGTACTGAAAGTGATATATTGAGAGTTAATTTATTCCATTATTTTTTTCACTAGTGAGAGACTGAATGTTGAGAAACCTTAAGGTTAATTATTCATAGCAAGCAAAATTTGAGACTGAATGTTATCTTAACCATTAAAAGTGAGAATTTATACCATTAGAATTGATAGAATAATGTTAATTTATAGCATTCAAAATCAGGGACTGAGAGTAGTTGACTGAATCTATTAAGGATAAGAGGCTGAAGGTTAACATGAAAGGTGTTATATGAGAATGATATGTTCAGTATACTAACAATGGATGATAGTTACATGCATCAGTGGGTATAGACAGAACAACTATTTGCTCAACATTGAAAGTTAATTATGAGGTCATAGAACTTGCTAAATGCATATGAATCACTCTTGCTTCTCCCCCTTCTCTCCTTTAGTTTTGTATGTCCTCATTTTTATTATTCTTAATAATAAAAAAAGTTAATTTTATATTCCAAATAAAGGACCTGCACTGGTCAATATTTTGTATGCCCTGGTGACCAACTGTCTTCTGTGGTCTTTGTAACATGTTTGAAAATAAAAAAAAATCATTGTAATAAATACAGATCTGATAAAGTTACAAAGATAAAGATATAATTTCTATTGACATGGTAAGGTCGTGACTTCTACAGTATCAACAAAGAACTTAACATTTCTGTTAAAATTGTATCAAATTACTCTGTTGGTTGTAACATTTGAACATTGTATTTGTTCGTTTGTAACAGTATAACGTTACTCTCTGCTGTCGGCTGTGAGTTACACAAGTAAAATGAAACATCAACTTGGGTCCGTTTACACTAGTAACTCTCCCCAATAAAGTTCTACTTCAAATAAGTTTAAACAGTGTCAAATTTATTTAGTACAATCAGACGGATTTAATCGGGTAAAGAGATTATCTGAATTCCCAATAGCTCGGCCCACCGTTGATAATGAACAAAAACTCTCAATTGAACTGTACAATCGTCTGCTTTCAGTAATCATTCAGTTACCAATATATAGGCCTGTGTATTGGCGAAATAAAAAGAAATCAACTTGAGTTCAATTTCATATAAATAATTACTGTTTAAGTAGTTTATGTAAGTGATCGGAAATACGATACTATTGTCTGTTGCATATGATATTTTTAATGTCTTGACTATAGACAAATTAATTATCAATTAGCAGATCATCTGTCCAATTATCGTAGCAGATGAAGCTGTTCCGTCACTGATGCCAGCTATTTAAAAAGAATACACGATATTTTTTGAGAAAGCACAATAAGAGAGATCGCCTACCTGACATTTTGGGTTTAAATCCCGTTACTTGAATACCCAGACGGAAACGATCAACTGTGCAACATACACATGGCCTCAGACGAGAGCGAAGGGAAAGTACAGAAATAGCGCGCGTAGCAACGACCCCTGACCCCAATAAACCATGTGACGTCACAATCGACGGAAGGCCTTATTGTAGTGTGTTGGCATGCAATATCGATTCGGGGTATGGATAGAGGTGGATAAACGGGACTCTTGATTATCGAAAAAGTATGCTTGTATTGGATGAAACATTATAAAACAATTCGGTCTTATTTATTTTGGGAGAAAATGTTTACCATATGTCTATGCAACTACGAGTAACGTCAGTGCTTTCAGTATGTAAATATGATGCATGTCGACGGTATATAATGCTTTACATCTGTAACGTTAAAAATTAACTTTAAATTATGTCAGTACTTGAAGATAATAACAATATGGCACTTTAACACTTTAACGGACTTCTATAATATGTGGAGATTTTCATATCTGCATGTGTAAAGCAATTTTTAATGGAGTCGTGAAATACCATTTAAAGTTAAGTTTACGGTCCGTTGGTTTTGTAATGAACTTATAAGAGTATGTTCTGCAGTTCCTATGTTATCGTAAAAATAAATTGCAAACTGTTAGCTATATGTCACATGTATCCAAGGTTACTGAAATTGTCAAGCTCCCATAGGAGCGTAATACTCGTACGCAGTACGAAACACGTTTTAAGTTCTTGGCGGGAATACCTTCGAAATGGCACCTGACAGCCGGAAGTTTTTAAAATCAGTTTTTAGGGTGACCATGAAAATGAAAATACAAATAACCATAAATTCTTGAAAACACGGAATATCGTCTCGGCCTATAAACCTGTGGGTCGATAGCAAGATTGCGTTTTTCCACAGTCCTCATTGGTCCCGTTGCCTTGTGACTGTTCAGTCAACAGCAAGCGTTATTCTTCCGTTTACTATGCCCCGTTTTTTCTGGCATCACTATCGGACTACATCTTCGATATTTTATTCGTCTAACTTGCTCTGTATTATTTCTGCCTCATATCCGACATATCTGACGTCACAGTCAAGAACGTGGTCTGTAGTAAACGTTTGTGACGTCAAATCATTGTTTCCTATCTCCTTGACCACAGTATATTTGTGTTTGTTTTAGACGTCTTATCGGAGGAGGGATTGACCACGCCGACACGCCGGACAATAGATATGGCTGTCGTTCAAAGACACGACACCCGGAAACGCCGGGCAAAACGTAGAAATGGTCACTACACCACACCTCCGGGACGCGTCCCCACCCCTGCCAAACGAAGTGGCACCAAATCAGAAGGTACGTATCAACCTTTTCTCGTGGGAAAAACTTCAGTGGTATTGTAAAATCTTTGTCTTTTTCTTTACTTTTTAAAGATGGAAAATTATTTGTATGTTTAACAAATAAAAAAGATGTTAAGGACTGCATGCTGCTAAAGTATTTGTTCCAGCCAGTCGTTACTGAAGTGATATTGTATTTTATTGTTTAAAGGGGCTATAATATTCAATGATGGCGAATATAAAGTCAAATGCGCTCACTTAAATTAAGACAGATAATCAAGAGAACAAAGAAACGCTCTTGAAAGGAGAGTGGCCTTTATATAGAGGTTAGTTTACTACGTATTGTATGTCAAATGACCTTTATGTAGAGGATAATTTACTGCGTATCATATGGCAAGTTACCTTCATATAGAGGTTCATTACTACGCATTGTATAGCCTATGGCCCTTTTGTAAAGGTTCGTTTACTGCGTATTGTATGGGAAGTGGTCTTTATATAGGGGTTCGTTTACTGCGTATTGTATGGCAAATGGCCTGTATAGAAAAGTCCTATTATTATGTGTTGTATTACATCGAGAACCAGAACAAATGCCGGTATGACTGGTTTGACTGATAATTTGTTGAAAGTTGTCGTACATGCTCTTTTCGTTGGAATGATCCGACCTAGATATCCATCCAATATCCCATGAATCGAGCACGGTCGAAAATTGATGTGTATGAGGGTCAAGTTTCACATATTCGTCTCGTTCAAAGAAAGTAGATTTGATGCAAATGCTTACGGTATTAACATTCAGCTTACTTTTATCGACTTACTTTCACATTGTCATGAATGGATAATCCTATTACGTATACAAGTTTTTAGTCGACTGGATTTGAAATGCTCATTATCCTGAAGAACGTCATATTACATGAATGGATTAATAGTTATATCTTCTTTGTAAAAAGGCCGTACAACCTATTTATACCCCTACCGACTTTCAAATTAGAGTAAAATGAAGGGAAGTAACTCTGGGAGATCAGAATGGTTTCGTGTATTGGCATCAAACTTAAAAAAAAGTAAGTACGACATAAGACGGCGAGTTTCGTACTAAATCGAGGATGATCCGACCTCTATTTTACTTCAGTACCCGACTGAATATCATTATAGCACAGATTTCTGGAGCACATCTCGGCTTCTGTTTCGCGTATGATTAAGACTGTAAGAAGGCATCTTATGCGAGATGCAATCCCTGTTAACCAATATATACGACATGGGTCTTGCATCCCTTATACAAATGCACATGCAAACTATATGCTTCTTCGACTTCTGATTGACAAGCGGAATGCCTTTCAGGACCATAAAAACTTTTATATATGTAGATAGCATGCTTTGTGTACAGTTGTTAAATACAAATAGCACAAATCACCGTTTTAAAATCATCAAGCTGTTTGTTTCGTGATCACAGGCAGTAAAGACTTAAAAAACTCTTCTTGATGCAAAAGTTAAAAACGAATTTAGACGATGTGCTACAATTAATAACTTATTCCCGTAATAAATCCTTATGTACGAATAAAATAATTCATCATTTAGAATTAAGCTCCGGTCATTGGTAAATTACAAAACTTTTCGTTCGCTTGGTTTTTCTCGACATTGGGGTTCAATTTCAAATGCAACACGATTAGGTGACGGATATGCCTACTGATTTGGAGGTAAACAGCATTGCTGCGTTACACAGAACTTGTGGATAAATTAGAGGAGAGATGTTGTCCCATTCATTGTGCAAGGCTTTTGACAGCTCCTGATTTTGATGTTCTCTCACAAGCTGTCCAATAACATCCTCAGCATTTCAATTGATATTCTGCTGCTAGAACGTGTTGTTTACACGGCTGATGTGCGCTGGCGAGTTATCCTGCTATGAAATGGTGCCGATGCCATGGCGTCTTCAAGTAAGAGTCGTAGAACCACTGGTCGTATAAGTTCGTCCCGATATAGAATGTCGTCCGAATCCATAAACTATCTGCCACAAAAGTGGACAAATATCCGTCTCTAAAATGATAGTTAAATGTCAATATTCACATTTATTATATGCTGTTGTTGTAATTGACACTTTTACTGATAATGCTCCGAGACAAACTTTTCGGTCTACCGCTTAGGCGGTCCCTTTTTGCGCTTTCTGTCATCGTGTTACAGCAAAAATAAGGACTTATTGAAAAAAAAACATTGTTCCGTTGTCGTAAGGCCCAGTTACGGCCATTTTTATGGCAGCATTGCAACAAAATGGGTCCTGTATACGGACGCTGCGCTTTCAAATGGTAGACTTCCAACCTGTTGCGCACTGTTCAGTCAGACACGCAACGCCCAAACAATGTACTTGTCATCTCTGCTACGGTTACGAAACGATTGCGCAAGTGTATCAACCGTATACGACGGTCATCCCTATCGTTTTTTTTTTCGCGGAATCAGCCATTTCGGAATACTCTGATTTCCCAGGGTAACTTCCCTCCATTGCAATCTGTCAGATAGCGATTGTAGTGTTTTCATGATTTATTGTATCCACAAACTCCCCGGAAGGAGGTAAAAGACTACAACAGATGAAACAGAAAGGAATACAACCATATTTACAGAAAGAGATATCAATTAACATTATCTAACATAATCCTAGCTCACCTTTTAGGTTTACCGAACTCTTAGTACTTTGATTTAAGTTGACTAGATATTCAACACAAATAACAGACAATAAAATGCCTGAAATCCTGTACAGAGTATACAAATAATAGCAACCTTTCTCCTCAACTGCACTTATGAAGTATCAATAACAGAATATTCAATTTATATACTATATCTAAAAATGACAATTTGGCTACTGAGATAATGCTTGGACGAGCTGACTTACTCTAGCTTTGACTTGAATAGTAAATACTTAAATCAGTTTGCAATGTTATACTCACATAGCATCTATAGTAAGCATAAATCAGTAGTTAATGACACATTAATAGCTTACATGTAAATATATCTTGAACATGACGAGATTTGTTTACATCGCGAATGACGGACGATTGACAAATAGACCTTTCCTAACTTTACAAAACATTTTCCTGATTAGATCACAGTACAAATTTGACAATCAGTGTTCAATTATTGAAGATTGACATGGATGGGGAGTAAACTCACCCTGTGGGGGACCTAAAATTTCCACTGATTGTTGTGCCGGAGCACGCCATGATAAACTTCTTGTTAAACTACTAACTAAGGGCAACACTAAATTCGTGATGCCCGGATCACAAGGGAGATAACTAAACAAGGTAACATGACAACGATAAGCTTGACAGCCGATGGCGGGCGACAACACATCGTGAACGGATGTTTATTTAAACGGCTTCACAAAACAACTGTAAACTGTCTTAACACTGCAACTAACATGCTCTGTCAAACAACACCGAAGCATAATGGAAAAAGACATAAATAACAAGATTTGATGTATTCAAAGTGCTGGAAATATATAAATTAAAAAGTCAATCGCAGAAATCCTCGTTCTTTCGTGCGTGTGGTAAACCTTGGATTTTCTTGCTAGCCGAAGGGAGATCATGTAGTCGTCTTTTTGTCCGTCCGTCATAATTTAGTCTGGAACACAAAAACTATAAGAGGTATCAGTATAATCTTAGGAAATTAGATCTCAACAAGGAGAAGTGCAGCGCACAAGAACCATCACTAATATGAAAGACCTATAAATCCATGTTGTGACTGATCACAGCCTCCCTCTACTATGGTTTGTTATTGATATTTTACATACAATAAGCAATCAAGGGCATTTACAGACGTGCCTTGTGGAGGAAAGACAGCGTTCTGAATGAAAAAACACCCACCTGTGGTCAGTTTCTGGCGACTACCACACGTACGACTTTGACCGGCCACTCGGAGGTGGAGTGTTAGTGATACAGATGGTCAGACGACCCCAACCACTCGCCCCCGCGGTCTCTCTGCGTACTGACGATAACTGGATGTGTGTAGCTATCTATGTAATTTTAAAATGAATTAGGACATATTGTCTTCCTTTTATTGACAGATATCCCATGGCACAAAGTGAAGAGAAAGTTACATTTTGGACGAGTACCTCCCCGACCTCGGACCAACTCCAGCTCACAGGCTGCAAGACCATTGGTATGATAAACAGGGATACAACACTTACAGTAAATTAATCCTTTTGTGGACTTTGCCTGATACCCTCCAATTTTTTAAAAAATATTTTGTAAGGTTTCCTCCTGTATCTGTATTTTAAGCACATCACCAACAGACTAGAGACTTTTAAACTTGCACGTTGCTGCTTTGTCATCATCTGTTCTCAGTTATTTGTACATTTCCTTAAAATTTCATATGAAAGTTAACCTAGGTTTCTTGTGCCCTTTCAAATTCTAGATTATAGTTAAGTTTTCTTGTATATACTGGCAAACAATAGGGTATAATATCTCCCACATATGCATGTGAAAGAGATATTAGCCTGAAAACAGCTGTTGTTTCATTTGTAGAGAAAAGACCCTTTATGTCACCTTGGACATCATCAATTACATCAAAGTCATATAATTGCATATTGTAGTGTAAATATGTCACATTTTGATAACATCATTGATAATGACACAAAGTTCACAGTTCAGCACATCTTCCAACAATAAAGTGTTTTAAACAATAATCAATCACCTGTTTGTGATGTAGATAGTTACCTTAATCCTTGGAATAATATTTATTTAGTTTAGTATTCAGAAAAGCATTTAGGTAAAATTTGCAAATATTACCCTTGGTTTGAGATAACTGTCCACATAATACAAAGGTTGCTATTAAACAAAATTAACTGTATATAAATTGAGTTAGTAAATATATATTAGGGTGTCTTTCTTAACTTTGTAAAGTTTTTACATAAGATATTCAAAGTATACAGGTGGGGGTTACTTTCAGTTACGAATGAAAGTATTATGTTTATCATGGTTTTCTGAATTGACTTAATAGCTATTGAAATCGGTATAACATTTGTTTTATAATTCAGAGATTTCAAAAGCCCAAGGGAGGTCATTCTCCCAGAAAGTCTGTCACTGCCAGCGTTGCCCACAAACCAGGCTTGTCAAGGGAACTCCACCATCTTCTAACATCAGCTTGTTTTGTTCCTGTGCGACTAAGGTCAACCTTTAAGAACTGGGGTCATAACTGTCATGTTGACCAACCAAAACAGCATGGATGTAAACTCCACTCCTCACATGAACTCACAAACTTAAAAATCACAGACGCAACACATTCACAAATCTCCCGCAGCAAACGAATCTCTAGAAGAAGTTATAACAGAGGCTACAAATTACATTCTTCACAAGAAAAAACCAATCTGGTGCTGCCCTCGCACAGGAGTCCACAGGGAGCTCGCTAGTGTTAAAGGAGTCCGCAGATAAAGAGATTTTTTCCAAACAGTATAGCGAAATTGGTGCTGAATATTTCTAAGAAAAAAATTCTATATACTAGTTTAAGTCTTTTGCTGTATTATTTTGACCTTTGGTTGAACATACCAGACTATAAATTGTGATCAAGTAGTCTGTATTTAAAAATGAGATCTCCACTTTCCTTTTCAAGATATTTTGAGTGGTATTTCTTTTCCAATGTTAATGATTTTCTTTGATAATTAGTATTTCAGTTACAGAGTATTGTGTATACATTTTCTTTTAAAAAATCAGTTTTCCTTGATTTTTGATGCTTATATTCTGATTAATGTTTACAAGTATCTGGTACAGTAGTATGTATTGTTTTGGTATATATTTGATATTTGATGATATTGTATTTAGTTCAGAGATAAGGAAGTCATTTAAGTGCTGAACATATGAAGAAATACACCTTTAACATTTCTCCTTTGTTGTTTAAATAGTAACCCAATTGGTTTTACAAATGAAGAGGTGCTTCCATTTGTTACAGCTGCATGAAAACTGATATACGTGTTAAATGTACCTTGTTACATGTTATCTGTATAGATTATGATTTGTTAATGTTTTGTTACTGTTTGTTTACTAGGTCTATTTGTTGTTAAATAAGTGATTAAGATGAAGAAATATTCATCAACCTTCCTGTTTTTCATTCCTAAAGCTGAAGCTTAGGTGCTGTACAGTTTGGTGAAATGAATTAAAGTAGCCTTACATCATTGTCAGAATCATACATGATCAATGTCACTGGTGTAGTGTATTTGTTATGTATTGGTGGATTTGATAAAGCTTTCAAATTTTCTTCATTGTATTGGTTTAGCTTTGGAACAGGTTATGTAAATTATCCATTGATAGAGTAAGTGCTAAATGTTTAATTCTTTGTAAAAATTTAATATTGAAAATATTTCCATTGTAAACTACCAGTTGTGAGACCAGCAACTTACATTTAGTCATATGTTTACACTATTCATGTCAATCACACAAAGAAGATGTGTTTAAATTGTTTTGGTCACTACATTTTGTGATGTCTGGTAGTATGTTATATTCAAATTCACAGTGTTGTGGTTCTTTTGATGAGTGCAAATGATCCAAAATCTGTCTAACCAATCTAAAGACTAAAGATTTGAGGCTGGTTACAAAGTCACTACCCATAATAAAGCCAGTGATATAGTGGACATATTGAAAGTTTGCTGCATCAATCCTGCGGTCTTGTATCTTGCCAATTTGCTGGGAAGGAAAATGTCTCTACTTTCAAGAATTTCTGGATCATTTGATTTCAAGGATGAAAAAAATCTGCAAATCATACTCATAGCTAGTAAGTGAACTCCTAGTTTTACTGTCATTCATTATAAACTGAAACTGAAATGCTGGCATTAGATAATATTGGAACAAAGAGAGTTATCTCCCTTGTAAAAAGTTTTCATTGATTTCCACCAAACAGTAGTTTAGTGTGACATTGCATGTTTTTTCATAAGATCATTTTACACTTACTTGTGTTATATATGAATAAAAAATCTGTTCATAATTTTAAAGAATGGCTGGTTTTATTTATTAGTAAACTTAAAAAAGACTGAGAATTCTGGAAGCAGACTTACAATTTACCATCCAAGTCTGCGTGAACCGTGGGAAACACTGCCTCAGATTTATTTGAAGGGAGAATTGGATGACATGACTATTGAATAACTAACCAAGTTTGAAATACCAATGTCCATTGTAGATTATTGTACATAATATATAATGGAGTGAGGCTACAAGTCATATGGACCAACATATTGTAGTGAAAACCAGGGGAAATTATCTCCTCTGGTTGTCACCACTGATGCAAGGTGACATTGACACCACAAGATCTCATGGAGCTCCTGTGACAGTTTGGTGCAAAACCACCTGACAGTGCTCTCTTGACTCTTGACTAGCTAATGGCACAGACGTGGACACTGAACGTATGAAATATCCCTGTACCATTTGTAAGTAAGGAGTTGGGAGCAACCGTGGAGGTTTCTGTGTGAATATATACACAGGATATTTCTACAATATACAGGAAAGTGTTAATACGAATGTTGTTAAATGATGGCTTGTTTGTGTAACATACACAATACATGAATATAAAAAGTATTCATTGACGGAGTAATTACTATGGTATAAAAGTTCTACAAGTGTAAGAAAACATTCCCCTGAACATGGATTCCTAATTTTAGTCACATGTTAAAGGCACTACAGTAGATAGAGAAGTGTATGTAGTAACAACTTGTGGAATGGTTATACATGTATATATGAAAATCAACATATCTACATGGTATAAAACCAATGATTTTAAAATGTTTGAAAATCATTTTAAGAAAATAAATGAAATAAGTTTAGACTGAAAATGCATAAAATAGAGGGTGGGCTTATTGTTGCTTATTATTACTGAGATGGACATAGCTGGGCTGTTCACCAGCCCTGAGCTTATTGGCTGATACAAAAAGTAAAATATTTCTTCAATGATTTTCTCACAACCTCATCATATACCCAGGTATGCATTATTGTAAATTTGATCTCCGTAGTGTAAAATGTTTTGTCAAATTTTGTTGTAGCTGATTAAGCCCATCACAGTAAGAAGATCAATATACAAGATTCATTGTTGCGAAAACGGAAATCAAGAAAGTTATCCGACAATAAATCAACAACATATAACAGAATACAGTGAAACCTCGCTATTAAGACCACTTTGGGGACTGGACAAAAGTGGTCTTAATAGGGAGGTGGTCTTAATAGTAAGGTGGATCAGATTGACCACAAAGAACCGTAACTCTGTTTAAAATAAAGAGTATATATACCATTAAGTAATGTACATGTATATTATTCATCAATAATAACTAATTATAATAAACTAAAATGTTGAATTTCATGAAATGCATGTAAAAAAGACAAAATTGCTGAATTGACAGAAGAATAATTATGTATATATTCCTTAGTTGATATCATAATATACATTGTAAACATTGAATGAAAGGAAACAAACAATCCATTTTAAGTTTAATTGGAATTTGACGTTAATTTTGCAACTATTTCACATAAATTTACGAACACATTTACTCAGTAATTGTAACAACTTTAATGAAGTCACTATAAAGTCTTTCAACGCTTCATTTTTCACATAAATTCGCAAACACATTATCTTTATCAGTGTATCACTCAGTGCAACACATTTTTCTTTTTACTTAAAAAAAAGAGTCCAGTGCACAATATTGCGAAGAGCTATGGATCTGGACAGCCTCCTCTTTCATACGTCCTTTTTACCGATCGCGATAGCTCGTTTCGTTTCTGTGGTTTCGTCATTGCTTGATAAAGTTCATCGGAGTTTTGTGACAGAGAAAATGTGTACACATTATCATGAAAAACCATGATAATCACAAACTGTAGTATACCAATAAAAATCTTGCCACTGATGCTGGAAACAATATCCACCCAAACCTGCACACATTTAGAAAACTACAACGGGATCAGAAAGATTTAAAGAATAATATGAACATGAAAATACAATCTCCCAACTAGGCAATTTGAAGGCAGGACAATGTTTTTTAAGAATGTTAAATTCATTCAAAGTTGAAAAACATTCTAGCATTTTGGGTAGATGCAGAAGCCAGCTTTTTTGGAGGGCAGTTCATGCAGGACGCGATAATCTCAAGCAAGATAGACAAACTACTCGGTTCATACTCCAGGTCTTCCATTGAATTATCATAATGATAACTCACAGTACAATCCTGGAGGTACTTCATTTCATCTGGTTCCAGTGTCTTACACAACCTCTCATATTCTAACTTTGGCACACCAGTAGATGGAGCATTGCTGGCCAATATAATCTTGTATGGAGAAATAAAACCTTTCTTTAGCCAGGTCTTAAACCAAGTCCACTCATAACCACCAGCTTTTTTGGAAGTTGCTGAAAACCAAAGCAAAATCAAAAGCAAAATGAGAAAGGAAAATATGTCTTACAAACAGCTTCTAATCTACACAGTCTGGTACTGTAAGGAAGGCTTCATACCAATACCATTACTGGTAAGTACATCCGCCGCAGTTTAGCAATAAATCTAATCTGGTTTTTCTAAAAGAAACTCTTTCTCTGCATAACACAGATAAGACTTTTAAAACAGGGTGTCTTAAGTGGGCTGGTTTCTCTTATCTTATCTTAAAAGATCAAAATTCTCAATCTAAAATGAATTGCTAGACTCAATTCTAAGACCACTGATTATAAATGTCTTCAGTTAATACCACACAATAATGATAATTACAACATTTCAAGTGGTTTTGTCTCTACATTATGACTAAGGCCTGAAACCTTACATAACTTCAGAGAATTGTTTTAGACCTCCATGTTGAAACTTACATGACACAGAGACATAACATCCCATTTGTAGAAGTTCCCAAAGTCTTGGTATTCTGTGTGGAAATATTTTCAACCCATATGGTATATACTCGCCAACACACATTGCTTTCAGTCGATCTTTATACTCGTGTAAGATGGGTATCAATGTGTCATCTGCTGCCAGTGAGCAAAACCACAAGGGCTTTTCAAGTTTACATGCCAACTCAATCTAGAAAACCAGATCATGAAGGAACTGATGTTAGTTCTTAACTCAAAAGAGTGCAAACCACAAGAAATTCTGCTTTACAAGAGGAAAAATCAATTTAAGACTGGATTAAGAATATGTAGCTTGATTTGTTTTTGATTAAAATCAAGTATTGTTTAAAGTAACTCTGTCTTTGCAGATCATTTGAGGTGATACTAAACCAAAATTTACATTCAATCATTATCAAAATTCAATATCAAATGTTAAGAATATTCTCCCATCAAAGTTAATTTAGTTATTGATAACAACATACTGGTCACAGCTTGATTAAATACCTAAATATGTTATTATAATCTAAAAAAATAAAACTATCTATATAGAATAAAATATGATCTTGATCCCCATCAAGACAAATTCAGATCGTCCCTACAACTCACCTGTTGTCTGAAGACCTCAACCTGTTTATCTGTGTTAATATTTGACAGGCCACATTCACCTATTGCTACACATTGAGAATGTCCAGCATACTTCTCTAGCATCTCTAGGCTGTCCTCTTTCCAATGTTCCATATTAGATGGATGAACACCTACAAACAGTTTTTTTTTCTTGTAGTCATAAAGAAATGTATGTAGACTATACATAATTTAACTTCAAATAAAACTGTACATAAAGATCTGTCTATACTGACTAAATTGACAACCTGTCTATACTGACCATTTGTCTACACTGACAACTTGTCATTAAGGACCAACTGTTTATATTAACTATTTACCTTTCAGACCACCTGTTTATTTTGATCATCTGTCTAATTCATCATGACTGTAATGACCATGGGTATACTCTGATTCTATATATATATATATTTTATATATATCAACTCTCTATACTGACCAACTGTCTTTAATGACCTCCTGTATAAATATTATACATTATCTTGTATTTATATATAAAACCCTTTAACGGTCTTTAATGACCTCCTGTATAAATATTATACATTATCTTGTATTTATATATAAAACCCTTTAACGGTCTTTAATGACCACCTGTATGATCCTAAAATCAGCTTTGTTTTACTTCATCAACATCAATTTAGCATTGATCCTTTTTCACCCTGGAATTCACTGATGTCATCACCTGATGTTGATATTTCAATAAGGTCACAAATCTTTGTAAACATTTTAAATACCTATCATTCTCACCTGCTGTGAAAAACATATATCCTGGGTAGAGTTCACACAATTTTACAGCATGTTTGATCTGCTTTAAGCTCCGACACGTGAGTACCATACTATGGATACCTGTAAATCAGGAAAACACACCTAATGTCATATCATTCAACAACACATAACTTTCACATACAGAAATAATCTGTCTTATGCTGGATGTTTTTGTTGCTTGACCTCCTATTAACAGCCAAAGTAACTCAAGGACATGCTAGGTTTGCTTGGTGGAGGAAAGTGATATTCCCAGAGAAAAACCACTGACCTGTGGCCAGTACGTGGTGACTGCCCCACACAGGCCTTGAACCCTGACCCAGAGGAGGAGGGCTAGTAAATAAGACGGTCAGATTCCTTAACCCCCGTGCCAATGCAGCCCCCTTTTTATGCTTAAAATATCCTGATATATAATTATATAATTGACCAAACAAATGATATATCACTGGTATAACACAACTAAGAAAAAGTGAAAAAGTTGAATGTAACATGATGTTTTTCACTTTTTCTTCTACATGTTTTCTGCTTATGTGACTGCCTATTGCTAGGGCTAGTCTCACACTAAGCAAGAAGTGCTCTGTCTGTGCTCATGATAATAACTGAAAGATGATTCAATGAAAAAAGAACATTGAAATTATTTCATATACATCAAATTAGAATTTTAGATGAAACATACGTCAAGTTTGAAACTAAAATTTGACTGCATCCTAATTCTAAATGAAAGTTAATTCACAAAACTAACAAAAGTCTACAAGTTGTTGTTTTTTTTAACTTTCAAAGGAATTTACTCATTACCTTTCTCATTTTAAATGGCGATACCATGTACTATGACTTTTCTCATTTCAAGGAGGATAATTCTGACTTGTTTTTCTGTAACATGACTTGTTCTCATTTCAAGGAGGATAATTCTGACTTGTTTTTCTGTAACATGACTTGTTCTCATTTCAAGGAGGATAATTCTAACTTGTTTTTCTGTAACATGACTTGTTCTCATTTCAAGGAGGATAATTCTAACTTGTTTTTCTGTAACATGACTTGTTCTCATTTCAAGGAGGATAATTCTAACTTGTTTTTCTGTAACATGACTTGTTCTCATTTCAAGGAGGATAATTCTAACTTGTTTTTCTGTAACATGACTTGTTCTCATTTCAAGGAGGATAATTCTAACTTGTTTTTCTGTAACATGACTTGTTCTCATTTCAAGGAGGATAATTCTAACTTGTTTTTCTGTAACATGACTTGTTCTCATTTCAAGGAGGATATTTCTAACTTGTTTTTCTGTAACATTACTTGTTCTCATTTCAAGGAGGATAATTCTAACTTGTTTTTCTGTAACATGACTTGTTCTCATTTCAAGGAGGATATTTCTAACTTGTTTTTCTGTAACATGACTTGTTCTCATTTCAAGGAGGATAATTCTGACTTGTTTTTCAACCTACCTGATTCATTGGCGTTAAACAAGACATCAGATAAAATCCTTCTGTCTATATCCATAATATGATTGCCACCATCAATAATCACATATTCTGTGAAGTTGCTCATTTTCCACGCTTCGTTTTCATAATCCCTTTCCCCGACGGATACAACAGTTGGCTTTAGACAAACTCGTTTAAAATCCTTTCTTAGTAAATGTTTTCTTTTCTTAATTTCTTGTATTGATATTTTTCTGTCATCTAAAACTCTGAAACAAATAGTACTAAAATGAGCTGACAATAATACATTTTTGTTAACTCACACAAAATATTAAGATATTTAAAGAGAAACATTGGCAAAAACTTATGAAATCCTACTTTCAAAACAACCTTTCATAGCACTGTCATTGGTATCACAAACATTGGTATCTCATCAGTACAAACTTTTAAGGCAGCTGATATTTATATTGATATCATTTCAAAATGACGATATACTTTTTTATTATAGAGATAGTTATTTCACAAAACAGTTGTCTTTAAAAACCATAACATCATTTCTTGGCCTAATACCCCAAATTAAAATTTTGATGAATTTTGTTGAAAAAAATAATTTAAAAAAAAACTAAAATATAAATTCTTATTTTCTTATCTCATGTTCAGATGCAAAATGGAACAACCTTTGAAAATAATTTAAAAACCACAATATCTAGAAAATATGTCAGTTTTGAAAATAGACCATTATTTCATTGCAGGGAAAAAATATCTCAAAAATAACATTGTCTTAGAAATAAGTTGTGACTGAAAATAAGCAGGAAACAATATTATAATCAATTTAAATTCAAATATATACTTTGCAACTTTGGTAACAGAAAAGTTGATTTTGCAGTTTTTCATAAAATGGATCATTATTATTCAAATTTCTGTTGGATTTCAAAATGTCACCTCATTATTGAGATATTGATGTTAGATCAAAAATAAAGTATGGTGTCATGGCAGCCATTTTGTTTTTCCAACAAAGATGAAAATCGTGTCAGAATTTAGAGGGCACATTACCAAACCTATTCTATAACAATTAAATAAAATTTCATTGTAGGATCTTGAAGAGCAAACTTTTTGTCTGCACTTTACATTGAACTATCGGAATTTTAAAAAATGACGTAAAACATCAAAGAAAAACATCACAGGAGAAATGTAGACACTAAAATGATCAGAATGACATTCTATGTTGAACTGTGGGGAAAAAAATTGACTAAATCTACTAATAATTTTTTTCTTTTTTTAGGTGACCTTGACCTTTGGCGAGCTCTTTTATTTGAAAGGATTTCTATTGTTATGTAGAAACAAAATAGTTATATATGACCCTCCTCTATATAAAATATACTTGAAGCAAATTTGTAGGACAAATAGTTTTCAAGTTATAGCTGTTTTTAGAATTTTTGGTAATTGGGTCATGGCGGCCATATTGGAATTTTGACCTACTTAAAAATGCTGCATTAACAAGTTCAGATTTACTTCCATTACATACTATATAGGTTACTGAAAAAGAATATTTGCATGATTTAAGGGTACAACTGAATATTGGAGTACATCAACTCAAAAGTTCTATTTATTTAAAAAGTTGTAATGTTCATCAGAAACAAAGTAATATAATTTCAACAATGATCAGTCTGGTGTAAACAAGAAATGGCCCTCACCTATTGTTGTATGAGGGTAGATCACATGACTTAGTACAATGATAAGGTATTTGTACAAGTGCCTTTCTAAGGGATGGGTTTTTCGGATCTACGGTAAAATTGATGAGGATATCTGAATCTGTTTTCTGTCGGATGTACGATGAAAGTAAAAGTCTTCTAAGGCATTTTTCATCCACATCTGATCCAAGATTACCTAAAAAATTTGCAACAGAAATGTTATAATATTACCAACACTCCTGGGTAAATATACACATATAAATTATCTCATAATTTCACTGAACTAATTGACCCATGTTTAGCAATGGTCATTTTGAGGATAGGTCATCTTGCAATAGCTGGTGGTCCATTGCATGCTTTCCAAAGCAACTTGGATGAACTGTCTTGCCTGAAAGCACACTACAGTACAACAGTACAACTTCCTAATGAATATCATAGACATCTGCATAACAGAGAAAATATGCATGACATATAATCTATATATCATAAGGCATGTATGTTTTGGTTTGAAGTTCACAGAGAAAAAGACCTGTCTGGTCTGTGCTGATAAGGTAGTAACATCTGGCAAGACACGTTTCCCAAATGTTCTGGATGGGGTACAACATACTAGTCTGAAGGGTTCGGACTATCTATGCACAATTTTATTTTTCTCTCATCATAGTTGATACTGAAAACATGAAAACAAAATAACGCATATAAATGCTTGAAACGCTTCAGACAAGCAACAGGGTTCCCATATGTTGATCAGTAAGATAGCCAACAGCTACTTCACAGAGACTGAGCCACAAAATGACCCTGCAACCAATACAGGTGGATGAAAGAGTCAAACTGCCCAATCAAGTGGAGATCGAAACACGCTAGCAGTGACTACAAAACTTCACAATTAAAGTTTCATACATCAATTTTCTTACAAATAAGTCATCACAGTCACAGATCATTTACAGTTATACAAAAAAATCATTTATAATGATGGTGATGCATCTTTGAAGTAATCAGCAGAACATCTGTACAGAAGTTTCCAAAATATATATTGCAAGATACCAATAATATATTTAAATAGAAAACAATTATTGGATTGAACACCATCAAAATGGTTTAATGTACAGCGGTACTCACTAACAACGTAGGAAGAATAGGTATCAATAGTTTCTTCCGAAGTGTCAATTTTGTCAAGCGTCTTCCTCCATTTGCCAGAACTCCGGTAAAATGATATCAAATTTTTGTAGTGATAAAATAGTTTTAAACAACTCTCGTATGATTCGGTTGTTGAAAACCACCTATTTATACAATAAGCTAAAATTGTAGTTAAAACAAATGATATTAGAAAAATAATATTTCCGTAACTGAAATCCATGATCCTGCGAAAGTGACGGTCATGAGATTTGTCTCGTTGCTGCACGTTAGAGTCGAAAACAATGGCAGCTGAGGTGATTCGGCGATGTTTCTTATATGAAGAAGATTTGCTGATATTGCATGAAAATATTTATGATATTTCAAATAAGTTCCTACTTGTTGTGAAATGTATTTAGTTCAAAACCGGATGTTTACTTCTTGTGTCTAAAATTAAAACCGAACCCAGTAACTGTATTATAATACACGAGTTACTTCCCATGATCCATCAATTTACAAAATATGTAGGTCTTGTGGACATATTATGATTGAGCGAACAGTAGACATAATAACAGTGAAGAAAAAAACAAACATTCTTCAAAATGATTTTTCCATGATTATAATGTGCAATGTGACTGTAACCCTGACTCAACAGTACTTAAATGGTAAGAAGCTTCCTAAGGTTTGGTTGAAAAGCAATGTGGATTCTTGTGAAGTTTAGAAATCCAACGTAAACGAGGAAGGTCTGTATCCTTAATGTTATTTGGTAATAAGACACATTGTAACTAACAGTGTCTTCCTTTGCACGTAACAGGGTATGATGTGAAATGAGAGATATGATTTTAAAATACAATGGTAATACCGGAAGCTAGTTAGTTTCGTCTTTGGAAGGTTATCATACTAGCCAGGTTCTACCAATTCAGCCATTTTGAAAGTGAAACCGTTTTCCTGTGATGTTTCTCAGTTACAGTTTACATTGAGTACACTGAGAAGGGGAAAAGAAAAAAAAATATTCTGGTGAGGCTAATATTTTTGAATGCAATTTAAAAGCAAATTAATTAATATATTGCTACTGAAAAACTGAAAAAAGACTGAAATACTGTAACTGAGCATCTTCGACTTTGACATTCATTTTCATTTGTTTATTCATGTAAAACATTTTTAACGGGTTTTAACGTCCTCACCAGAGCATAAGAAAACACCTGATTCCTAAGTAATGCAAATAGGGACGACAGATCCAGTGAGATAGAACAGGAATAGTCTTTCCCCGTCACCGATGTACTTACTTGTGGTAAGTCACAATATATGTGAAAAACGGCGGTTGTCAAGTAGTTTCTTTTCACTCACCCCGACCCCTGCACACCACACATAAAAAGAACACATGCTGCTGATGTCCTCATTTGATATTGATATATTAAAACTATTTGTTTTCACAGACTGAAGTGACATGTATCGGGGTGTATATATCGTCGTTGCAAACGCATTATACAATTTCTGTCAATTCCCCACCCCCACCCCCTGTCAATGTTACAAAAAAAAAAAAAAAAACACACACACACAAATCAAATGCAGGTCCGTTGGGCCTCTTGTTGCGAGAAATAAAGGTATTTGATGTGTTTTTTAAAAAATAAAAAATAAAATATGACAAATCATGGAAAGAACCCCTGTTGTTTGTTTGTTCAGTTATCTCATATTTCTATTTATCCTGCAACTGGCACTGCCATTGTCGGAATACACCGTCCTGCCACATATATTTCGCTGACATTTCGTAGTGCGAGGGAAAAGAAGGCCAAATGAAGACGACCGTGAAATTAGACGACAGAAAATGTAAGTATTCCTTTTCGATTTCCGTTGTAAGACATAAAAGTATGTATATATATATACATCAACAAAACTGATGGAGGGGAGACAATTCTTGATTGGAACATTAATACGATACAAATGGCTTTGTTTCGAAAGAATTTTATGCCGCCAATGTCCACGTATCGACACAATCTTCTTCATATCTGATATGATTTGGTTCTACAACTTCGCTACGGTATTTCATAATCAAAGTACTGAAAGTACTGAGAGGCTAAACGTATTGAAAAATGTTCACAAATAACCGCTACGCTATATTACTTTCCCCATACTCCTACACTTTGGAATGCAAAAATTACTAAAATAAGAGAACCAGAGGCTATTTGTCTTAACTTTAAGCGATTTTATATCTTCTTTAATTCTTATTTCAAATTTGACGATAATAATGTGAATAAATCAAAATAGGTAAAAAAAAAATTAACAAAATACACACAACCATATATTTATCGCCAACAAGCCAAATGATAAATAGCTCTATGATGAAGTTGACTAAATAAAACCTTTGAAATACCCAAGATGTTGCAATTACTATCCTATCAATATGAGGATTTAGACCAATCGAAAGGACTTTATACCTACTTCTTTATTTTGAATGAATTGAAAAGTTATAGTCCTTACTTATTATAGTTATATTTGTAGTTGAGGAAAGTAGATAAGGTATACACAGCATTTCAGATTAAATGTATTTACATGCCTATCTTCCTTGAAGTATCATGGTTAGACTTTCCTTCCAGTAATTATGTCTATAAAGGCATAGTTCTATGAGATTAAACCAGACTTCCAGATATACACAAAATTTACAATATTTTCAATATAGCTACTACTTTTTCTGATCTCCAATGCATTAGATAATGTCACCATGACACGCTAAATGAATAAACATGTTATGGAAATATTTCGTTTTAGTTAATTGATAATTATAAACATGAATATTTTGGGGTTTTATATACGCGCTTTGTTTGAAGGAATATTTTCATTTCATTTCAAGGAACTTTGATAGACATTAACAAACCTTGAGAAATCAGCACAATCAACCTTCATCAAGTAAAACTAAAAGACAAAAAATATAAGTTATAACAAAGTCAACATCTTGATCAGTACAGTATTAAAATATATCATTCATAAATCATGAGCACCAAATGTACCTTGCCTATGAAACGCAAACTTTTTATCTTCATGGTGGTTGGGTGTGAAAATCCTGAAAAAAATGTCATATCGGCGGGTGTGCGCGTAGGACGAACAGTCCAATTTTGTGACGTCTAATGAGGTAAAGTGATGGTATATATTAAGACGATCTTGCCACAATGACAAGAATTAAAGCAAAATTGATGTTCTGTTTGTAAGTTTTGTTTGTTTATCAGTGCTGTTAGTTGATAATTCAAACCAAGCCCCCAGACTAGCTTCTTATCATGACGCCAACTCGCACGTACAGTGTTCTGTACGCTTACGTCATGTTGGGAATTCCGTAAAATATATTGTTCAAAATTTATCAATAGTTCATCCACACTGTGCTTCTTTTTTGAAATATATAGTAATCGTATTGATATTACTAAAAATAAACTAATTTTGGATGCTTTTAAAATAGCGATTTGAAAAATCGCGGCATTATTTAAGCAGAAAATTTCCGCTAGAGGGCTCTAACTCTTTTCGATATTTCAGCCAATGAGAAAGCCAGGATCGGTAAATTTTGTCTGAAAGGCCGTCGCAATAGGCTATGCGTACGGAGTACGTTTAGCCTAATAAAAAGTAGATATGTGTTTCATATTTAATTCATTACACTCTGGTATTTTATTATTAGATCAACCTCAGCTCCTCAGGTTGACCCAGACGGACATATACGTCCCTGCTATTAACAACCGGTAATTAAGGACGTGCTGTGTTTGTGTGGTCGAGGAAAGTCTGAAATCCCAGAGAAAACCGCCAAGCTGCGGTCAGTATCTTGCGATTCCTCAACGGTGTAAAGAAACCGCATTGATGAACCTTCCAGAGTTACTGCCCTTCATTTTCACTCTGTCAGCGTGTATAGCGACAAGTTTGACAGCCATAGGGTGCCGAGAATGAGAAAACGGAGAGCCTCAGAGAAATTCAAGAAGTCAGACAGGTCACTCATATCTTTTCTTAATCTTGGTTATCAATATGTACAATAATCTATGATGATTCAGTGATTTTGGTCGACGTTTTTAAAAACCATTTGCTGAACGTCCATTCCTATTTTGGTATGGCTTATTTTCCAAAGAAATGAACACATTTTCATGGACGCAACTTAATACTTTAGAAATTCACATATGAAGGTCTGGGTAATTTATGCAAGTTTGAAACTATTGAAAAAGTTATCCTGACTTTATCTTACTATAATGTGAAGTCTTCGTAACGTGCCAGTCATATTACTCCCGAACCTAATTAACTTGGCATTCTAAATGACTCCAATATATACCGTTCTAGTTATGACAAAGTGGTGCTATCAATTGTTTTTCATTTGTTTATTCTTTTGTTTTACCCTTTCAATTTCATATTCATTTTTTAAAATTTAATCATAAAATGTACACAAAATTGTGATTAAAAACTGGAGAGCAAAATTACCTACACTGTATATATAGGCATATATCCCAGACAGAGTATGTTTTCCTTAATATAAATATAAAAGAGAAAGTAGAAATTTTCTATCTCTATCTCCACCAAATAAACAATAGAAATAAACGGGAATGTCGAAACTAGAAGATGAAATATTACGAAAAAGATGACCGATAAAAAAAAATGACGAATGTACCTGTGTAATGTACAATGTCATTTAGGAATTTTATTAGGACTCGTACATAACATTCAACAGAAATTATTTCATACACGATTAAATTCCATAAATATTACTCTTCAAATCATAACACACGCCGCTAATGGACGAAGATTCAATTATGTTTGATTTAAGGATCTTACATTAAACATGATAAAGAGATCTGTCAGAAATGCATACCGATAAAAACCGGTACATATATTCAATAGCATTGAATAGGAGGAATAAACTACATTCTGAATGATCGTTCTATATAAATACCTGCATAAATGGCGGCCCGTGTCATTTGCGGTGACGCCCCATTAGAGAACTTACGTCAGAGATGGTATTAGGCCACTAAATATAGAAATAATGATTTGCGTCCATACGTTTTCAAAATATCATGTTTTTTATCATCTCTGCTGAATTTATTCGCCGTTCTGTCTAATTATTTCTTCCCTTGAGGCATTCATTCCACATGAAAGATGAAACGAAACACTATCTTTATTTGGACTACTTAATACTAGTATGACGAGGCAAATATTTCCCAAGTCCCGTTAGTTGAGCATGGGATTGGGTTACTTTAAACCCGTGGTTTGAAATTTCACCCGTCGTCTTATATAAACATATAATAAATTTTGAAATGTTATCAATATAAAGGAAACGAGGCATATTTCACTTATCTTGATTTCACATATGTTTCTCAGTCTATAATTTGAGTCTGTTGTGTAATTACAGTACAAAAGACACGCAGGTTAAGAGCAATGAATTAAACTGTATCATATAACTTAATCGTCATTCTTGGACTCGTCAGTCGATGCTAAGGGTATTATATTTTTTCATCTGAGAAATTAACATAGAACTTTATTGGATACGAAATATCAAGGGAGTAAAGCGGACCAGGATGTTGGATGAGGGGAGGGAATTATTGAGAAATAAGTCGGATATGGAGATAAAAAATATGCAAGAGGTCAGCCGAAGAGGGTGTGTGCATTAAAGTAATTAAGTGGTTTAATATCAGATAGTATTCATATCGACTATTCTGCTCCCATGGTCCAACATTAGTCACCTTTTGGGTTTAGATCAGGCTAAGAAATTGTTTCTGTAGGGGTTTGATGTGTGTACATAATCTTAGATCACGTGAGACATACTTGATAACATTAGACAGGATGTCTTCAGTTTTCAGAACAGAAGATATTTTGGAATAGCCATGTGTCGTGTTATAGAGGGTAGCCGAATACTCAGGTGCCGTGTTAGACAAAATTTCGGAATACAAAAGTATTGTTGTTGAGAGAATAGTAGAATACCCGGGTGTCGCGTATGACTGAATAGCTGAATACTCGAGTGCCGTGTTAGGAAAGTAGAATACCCTGGTGTTGTGTTAGACAGAATATCGGAATAAAAAAGTATCGTGGTAGACAAAATAGTAGAATACCTAGGTGTAAATGTTCTTTTACAGGATATCGGAATACAAAAGTATCGTGTCACCCAAATGCCTTGATTGACAAAACATCGGGACGCTCTGGTTTCTTGCAGGACAGAACATCGCAATACACAGGAACCATACGAAACAGAACATCGGAATACCTCGGTACCATACGAGACAGAACATCGGAATACCTCGTTACCGTACGAAACAGAACATCGGAATATCTCGGTACCATACGAGACAGAACATCGGAATACGCAGGAACCATACGAAACAGAACATCTGAATACCTAGGTGCTGTACAAGACAGAACATCGGAATACCTCGGTACCATACCAGACAGAACATCGGAATACCTCGGTACCATACGAGACAGAACATCGGAATACGTCGGTACCATACGAGACAGAACATCGGAATACGCAGGAACCATACGAAACAGAACATCAGAATACCTAGGTACAATACGAGACAGAACATCGGAATACCTCGGTACCATACGAAACAGAACATCAGAATACCTTGGTACAATACGAGACAGAACACCGGAATACCTCGGTACCATACGTAACAGAACATCAGAATACCTAGGTACAATACGAGACAGAACATCAGAATACCTAGGTACAATACGAGACAGAACATCAGAATACCTCGGTACCATACGAAACAGAACATCAGAATACCTCGGTACCATACGAGACAGAACATCGGAATACCTCGGTACCATACGAGACAAAACATCAGAATACCTAGGTACTATACGAGACAGAACATCGGAATACCTCGGTACCATACGAGACAGAACATCAGAATACCTCGGTACCATACGAGACAGAACATCAGAATACCTAGGTACAATACGAGACAGAACATCGGAATACCTCGGTACCATACGAGACAGAACATCGGAATACTTCGGTACCATAAGGGGCAGAAAAGTGGAATACTCAGTGTAACAAAAAACAACACTCAAAAGCCATGTGTCATGTTAGACAGAATATCAATGTACCCACACGAACTGATGGATAGAATACAGGAAAACCCATATCTTATGTAAAACAGAACATTGGAATAAATACATGTGTCGTGTTAGACGGAAGAGCGGAATATAGGGGTATCATAAGGTTTTGTTTAAAGCAGAATATCAGATTTCCTTGATGGCGAATTATCGGAATATAGAAAACTTCTGGTGTTTTGACCATGCGTAAAACAAGATAGTTACAAACACGTCTTGGAAAAATACCAATAAATTTGAAATAGTTCTGACGTAAATCTGTTAGTCGCCTTGTTTGTAAATCTGCCGCGCTGTCAGCATTTCCTCGTCTTACACAATCTCTAGCCGTAAAGAAACTCCCGAGCTCTTTGTAGCTTGTTTGTTCTAGTGTGTAAATCTATCTGCAAAATAAAAAACAAGCATAAACATGGCTGGGGGCAATTCGCACAAACGCCATCAAAGAGGAATGTGCTATCCCAATCGAGATCTCAAGGTCACGACTTATCAAAAAATAGGTTTTCAATTTTTGGCATAATTATAACAGAAGTGAAACCCAAAAACGGAATGACATGATTATTTTTTATTCATTTTTAAAGATATAATGACATTTGCTCTATCACGTGTGTCAGCCATGGTAGTCCCTCATCAATCTACACTGAAAGAATTCGTGTTATCGCTATTTCTTGAGAAACATGGTATGGATCTTTTACAAAGTCAATATGCAGTCTCCCATCCACCCCTTATCAGATCCTCAATTGTCGACTGGACTGGATTAGATCCTCGGATAACGACAAGACCGGATATCAGATCCTCGGGTATTGACTAGACCGGATATCAGATCCTCGGGTATTGACTAGACCGGATATCAGATCTCCAGTTGTCGACTAGACCGGATATCAGATCCTCGGGTAACAACTAGACCGGATATCAGATCTCCAGGTGTCGACTAGAGTGGATCAGATCCTCGGGTAACGACTAGACCGGATATCAGATCATCGGGTAACAACTAGACCGGATATCAGATCCTCGGGTAACAACTAGACCGGATATCAGATCTCCAGGTGTCGACTAGACCGGATATCAGATCCTCGGGTAACGACTAGACCGGATATCCGATCATCGGGTAACGACTATACAGGGTATCAGATCCTAAGGTATGGACTTGACTGGATATCGGGTCCTCAGGTGTCGACTAGACTGGATATCACATCTTCGGGTAACGACTATACAGGGTATCAGATCCTAAGGTATGGACTTGACTGGATATCGGGTCCTCAGGTGTCGACTAGACTGGGTATCACATCTTCGGGTAACGACTATACAGGGTATCAGATCCTAAGGTATGGACTTGACTGGATATCGGGTCCTCAGGTGTCGACTAGACTGGATATCACATCTTGGGGTAACGACTAGACAGGGTATAGGATCTTCAGGTATGGACTTGACTGGATATCGGGTCCTCAGATGTCGACTAGACCGAATATCAAACTTACAGATATTTCATGTACGAAATTTTTACCTGCAGAGTGGAAAAGAGTAATTTTCATTTTATATAATATAAAAGGATATCATGGGGATCCCCTAACCTTCGTGCCACTTTAAGTCTTAATGGTAAAGCAATGGTAAAACATACAGATGAATGACATCTGAAAGTTCGTCGAGTTTGCTACACTTTCTATGAATGAAATATACACGATTTCAGGTTTATAGAGCTATAAATCCCGTACAATTCAAAATGTCAAAAATCACACTTAATGTTCGAACGTCGTTAGCGAAGTGTCCTTATGTTGTAATAAATCACCATAAACAACTTTGTATGTCAACTCTTGGCTATGCCAACTAGCGCATTTCCTTGTGTACGAAGGAATGACTACGTCACAGTGAGGACTTGGCACGTCCAAGTTGACTTTCTTTACGATTTGCTTGTTGATACGTCCTCTCAAGAAGTGGCGAACCTCGTTAAGTTAAATCCAACTATTTTATTACTTGGTGAATATAAACAAGAAAAAAATCACACGTGCCTCGAATCCAGGCCTATTTTCCTTCTTCACTATGTACGATTTACGAGCCATTTTGTAACGAAAATATTGACATTTCCAACACTTTGATTTCCGATATAAACTTGACCTCTATGTGACCATTTTACGAACTTTGTACTATTTCAAAAATATCAATGTTTTGCACTTCAGTTTTTGATCCGATTGAATTGGTGAAATTGTCACAACTCAGTCCATTTTATTCCGACGAAAAATGATTTTCAGAAATGGTTTTGAAGAAAGAATTAGTGATACGAATATTGAAACTTTTTCAGTACGTAATACTGCTAGTAACATTTAACATCGAACATTTAACTTGCACGTACATTCTGTTACGGTCGAACGGCTCCCATTTCTAAAATATCCACATATTTTTGTCGTAAGTGTTTTGATTGAATTCCCAATAATTGACATCGAATGGATTTTTCTCGTATTTTCTAGGCAGGTTTCTTTTGGTTCTTCCCTTATAATTTTGGAGACAATCAGAAAAATAAAATGTCTGACAGGCGACCATCTTGGATTTTGACAGTTAAAGGTTATTTTCGCTAATTTCTTAAGGGGAAATTTCAAATGTCATTTAATGAAGAGTAAAAAATGGAATGAGGAAGAAAAGGGGAAAATCTAACTTTTAAAGAGCAAGTAAAGACCTAACATTTGTGGGCGCCAAGATCCATGCGGGATCACTTGTTTCCCGTTCCGCTCTCTTTACTATATAACTAATTATTGTACATCGTTTTACGAGGAACGTTTCTTTAATTTTGTCCCTTTCATTTTAAACTTTCGGCGCCTTTCCTGGATTTTACAAGGCAAGATATCACTCTCAACAGAAGAAAAGATATAAGGGTGGACTGCAGAATTAGATATTTTGTAGGTTTAGATTAAGATTTATTCGATGGTATACATACCAAGTATAAGCTTATATACCTAAAGGCCTCTCATTAAAGATAAACTTCATCGTTTGACATTTTCCCCCTGTTTCATATCATACTTGTTAATTCTAACGTGTAGCAGTGGCTCATGAATGTGTATTCCTGGAATGGTGATCATTTATTCATGTGAATGGCTTTATCATCAAAAGAACTGAAACGAAAAATAGGAGGAAAAATATAAAAATATGATGGTGAATTTCTTTGTCTCTCGTAAATGCGTTTGAATGTGTCTTAATAAAGAACTATTCAAATTGTAACTTTCTCGCCTGGAGTGATATTTTGACTACGATGTCGTTGAGATGGACAAATTTCAGCAGTCAATTATCTAGACCATTACAAATAATGGAGCAGGTTTGGGAAAAGCTAATGATACCGAGGCAGTATCACTTCTTGGAAACAAGCCTTGTCATCCATCATTTTTGACAGACGTGTATAAAGAACAATTATTTAGGTTAATCAATACCTAATCACGCCGATAAGAGGACGGCTTCACTACTCTCACACCTCCATAAGTTGTGGTGTGGTTCAACAAAAGGTCAACCGTTTTCAACGTTGATCTAGCCTCACTCTACTGAACATAGTAAGTCCGGAGTTCAAACTCCGAAGTCAGCTTATACTACACGTACACTCTAAATGGAGTTGGTGTTGTTTGTCGATTTTTTTGTGATTTCGAGTAAAATCGCCGTTATTGGAGCATTTAGCAGAAAATAACCCCTAGCAAGTTGTGAAAATTCGACAGCGTCATTGCGCAGCGTATTCGGACATATGCTTAATTTTGACGCAGTAATGTATTTTTGAACGCTTCCCAATGATGCAAATTTGCAGACAGCGATCATGGTCCGTAATTATATACAGATTGTGCTTAATGTACCTCACGAATTTTCGTAATATCTCGCCAAACTTTATTCCTTAATTATCATTTCTTAAAAATAAAACAAAAAAAAACGCACTTAGTAAATTTCAATATTTTAAATATGACATGTATCATATAACGCAAAGCATTTTCTCTCTTAGATGTGAAAAGTACATTTTGAATGGAAATGACGGACAACAGTGCTGTGGCCTGATTCGACTTTATAGCGGTACATAACCATACAGCTATGCTGACATAAACAACTAATTAATGATAAGATTGTGATTTGTAAGTGAAATACTTGAACACTTTTTGACTGCGTTCCATATATGGCCGTGTCTATGTGTACACCTAGGTGCAACATATCGGTTGTTTTTAAGATAAAAATCCTGTATTGTACAATAAACTGGGTTCATATCTACACTAAATGAATGATCTAGTGCAAACTCATTATCATGTTTATCAGCGTATCACTGGTCAGATTTGCAATATACACAAAACGTGTGTGTACATACAGATAGCCATCAAGTGTAAAAGGCAACTCCCAAATACAAATCCTGATAACATTATAACCCCCTTGACTTCTTCGACAGATTTATTTTTTGTTGGTAGAGGGTTGTAGATTTGTGATATATAGTGAAAAGTTTCTGGGCCAATATCGGCAGTATTTTATTGAACTTTCATTGGATATTTGATTTTAGAGGTACATAAACATTCATACACTTCGCAGTCAACGCACAAACATTTCTGTGTGTGTTAATCCACCTAGTTACGGAAATGAGTAGCGGTATGGATATAAGGATACGATCACAATGGATGCACGTAAGGTGAGTAAATAGAGAGGAGGATACTAAGTCTATATTTTAGTTTTCTTTTGGCAGTAGCGACACCTATGTGAACAAAACATTCACGAACTAAAAGATAAATCAAAGCACCCTGTTACCAGTCCAAACAACATGATCCCTACCTAATACAATGACTCCAATCCAAGCACTGTGAGACCTATATAAGCATCAAATTGAGCTTATAGACACCAACCAGACACTATTCGACCTATATAAGCACTTTATCAAATTGAGCTTATAGACACCACCCAGACACTATTCGACCTATATAAGCACTTTATCAAATTGAGCTTGTAGAC